AGAAGTCCAGACGCTTTTCTTTGCAAGCTCCTTTGACTACTTCTTTTTTTCTTCTCAGAATAATGGCATATTTTTCCTTTAGTAGCTTTAATGACTTTCAATCCCTAGAAAAAGGTTAAAGGTGGCAGATTCTCACGCAGCCTTTAAACCATTATGGTTTTCTCAGATAAGCAAATCATCAGTATTTTTACCTTCCATTATTTCTCAACCATGTTCTCCCTTTTGTTTTCCCCCACTCCTTCTGTTCACCTCCTCTCCTGCTTCTCTCTTAACTGTCATCTGCCTCTTTCTCCTTGTTTGTGTGTGTATTGTTGGTACCCCACCCCATCACCCTACTTCCCAACACTAGACTACGCTGAGCAGCTGCGAATTATGCAGAAGACCAAGGAGAAGCTTGAAATTGCATTAGAAAGGCATCAGGATTGTACGTACCTCTACTCTCCTCCCAATTAGCTTCCTTTCTGTTTCCTGTCTGTCAGCTGTACTAAACATTACCTGACACATTATTGCTCACAGAGATGGTTCAGGGTTCCAGATGCTAATATCTTCAGAGGGTTGCTGTGGAAGTGCTTTTTCTTTTCTTTTAATCCAAAGTAGGATTGGGCTTTTTTTCAAACCACTGGTATGCAGTGTTCAGAGCACTGATTCCAGAGCCATGCTTTGTCTGTCACTTTGCTCTCAGTTTGTTCGCTTTTGCTAAGTGGTTTCTCAAATTTGCCAGGAAATATAGCAGCAGCTCCAAAGGCAGACTAATCTCACTCACAGTGTTTGCATGTTTGTTGTAATAATGGTACACACCCAACATTTGCTACATTCTGGTCTATTACACCTGGTACAGCCACCTATATATTTATATACTCGTTTGTTGGGCTGTGTCTCTCACATTGTTTTACGTTACTGTATTCACTGTGATGAACTAAATATCAAAACCCTACCACAATGCACGGTTTGAACAACAAGACCAACTTGCTTGTGACTCATTAAGTGTAGCAATAGAATTTTTCCACTTTGTTTAGAGAGGAAGATTTGGGAACCTGGTCTGTGTGTAGCTGCTGCGTGTGGCAGATGCTGATGCAAACAAAGTTTGTATACCTGCTGTAATACAAGCAAAGCTAAATATATTGGAGTATGCAAATGTTATATGTTCACACTAAAAGCCTCGAGCATTAAACACACTGGCTGAACCTCCTTTTTTAAGTTTAGTAACAGGTGATTTGCAAAATCTTTAAATGTTAAACTTGACTTTTTGGCCATCTGTTTTAGCAAACTGACTCAGTTAATCTGAAACACTTCAGTTTGTCCCGTCTCTGCCTTTGAATACACTCCAACCTCAGCATCTTGGATTGCAGCTGCTGATTTTATTCCTTGTTCTGCTCTGCAGCCTTCATGAGGGTCGTGCAGATTCAGGTAAAGCGACCCTCGTGCTCACAGCAGAGCTCGAGACTAGAACAGAATCCACTGACCCCAGCTGCTATCAAGGGTGGTAGATTTGGAGAATCCTCTGACATGATATTGAGGACAACCACAACAGCAACATGGCCACCAACCAGTTGGTAGGAAAACACGAGATGCAAAGCAATGGAGCTGGCTTGCAGCAACTAACCATTCAAATTAAAAGCAAAGTGAATGGATAAAATAAAATACATTTAATATATAGTACTATAATATTGACTAATTTGCCTAAACGTTAGGTAAAGGTCTTTTTTGAAAACAAGGATATCTGTCCCTCACAAAAATAATGGACTAGTTCAGGGAGATAAGTGATGTAAACCTTCTGACAGTAGCACCAGGGGTCGTGTGGCAAATGAGGAACTGGTTAGATGAGAGCTTATTGGAACATCCAGTCAGCAACATCCTTAATGAGTGAATCTTGGAAGAGTTAAACATTTCATCTTTAGCACTGAAACTATCAGCTATTCTCTCAAAGTTCTCCCTGAAACCTCTCGATTAAAGCCCCACTGCGGCCTCTCTGCCGTCCCTCCCTGCTTGCTGCTTAGTTTTCCTTCATAGTAAGATGGACTTGCTGCTCTAAGATTATTTGTCTTGTGTTGTAGTAATGCGAGTTGAACTCTGCAGTTTCTGGGGGTTCTAAGCTTTTAGTGTAGACGACGTCATTTCTTCAGGGTGGCTTTGTTGTGTTAGGATCTTTACTACCTTTCTGTTTCTTCCACGTGTCGCGCGTTACTCGTCTCTGCCTGTTTTTGCTTCTGGGATGAAAACACTTGTTAAACTGACTCCCACTTTTCACAGCTACTAACGGCGCCGCTCTCTGTGCTGTTTAACATTTCTGTTCTGCTTGGTACATACAAACCTTTCTGTGTCCTGTCTGTCTCTTTCTCCCTCTCTCACTGCTCAGCATCCATAAAGAAACTTCAGGAACAGAATGACTCTCATCAGGTCAGCAGAGCCAAAATGGCGGAGGGGATGGCTTTAGCGCTGGAGAAAAAGGATCAGGTAAAGATGCGTTCTGTCTCACTTATTATAGAGGTCTGATTTGTTCTGAACACTTTCTATCCTCCTGCAGGAGTGGATGGAGAAAATGGCCAATTCAGACAAAGTAAGTTACATTTCTTTTAAAACATGTAGAACAAATAGAATTCTTTAATTTGAAGATTGCAAAATCTCCCCACAAAAATATAAAAGATGGACGTGGTCTGTAGGTTTAAAGGTTGGACCCAGTGCAGGATTACCTTAGCCTGCATTCTTTCTCGTGGCTTGACGGCGGTAACGTCTTCGCTCTAGTAGAAGAAAACGTCCAGTTGTAAAGATCTATGGCAAACTGGACCTTGGCTTCTTGTCCGTTTGACCTCAGTAAACACTTCTCTGGTGGGTTTATGGGAGCAGTTGTTTCAGGTCAAGAAGGATAAAGCCCAGCAGTTTGTTTGGGGGGAGCTGATATTTCTGTGCTGTTCACTGATTGGAATGAACGTTAAACTGGTCACAAAATAAGAAGAGTGAAAAATACATTACACCAGCAGTTGGGCAAATTATCATTCTGTAACACTCAGTTTCAGTCATGACATTCCTACTAGAATACCATTACTTTGTAATATGCTGAGTTATTGCTAACAATGTGCAGTGTTTGGTGTATATCCCATCACAAAGAAGATAAAGGAGAAATTTTCCTTGTGGGGGGAAAAGAAGCTGCATAGTAATACTAGAGACCCTTACAACTGGTTCTTTCATGGTATTTGTCTTGTGTTTCACTGTGGGGGACGCCGGCTGCGTGACCTCAACAAAATCTCAAATACCGTCATACCGGCTCCTTTACACTTGCTCAGTGACACTCGTGTCAGGAGTGGCCAGAGCAGTGTTATATAATAGTGTCATAGCCTCAGATGTTATTCAGACACCTCTTGGTGACAAGTATACTATTGGGCTAAAGACTCTGCCACTGCTTCCTTGTTCCCAGTATTTCAGTTGTAAATTGGCTCACCAGAGGTAGCAGTGCTGTTCTGTAGCTGATGCTAAGGTGCCACTGGCATTTCTATCAGGAAGAAATACATCTTTAAAAAGTACAATTACTTTTTACTCCAAGTTAACTGAAAAACACTAATATTCTTCTCAGTGCTTTAACCTGGTGGTTTAACTGTTTGTAACACTCAGCCTAAACGCTAATCATGGCTATAGCTTCTGTGTGCTAGAGCGTGGTCTTACAGGACTCTGTATGAGCATAACGTATTTGAATCATAGGCCATCCCATTTCAGTGCTTCATGGCCATGATTCCATCATTTCTTCAGGTAGAAGAGAGTAAGGCATTCTACACCTTCGAGGTGTATTTGGCCACTATTGCAGCCTGCCATGTTGGTTTTATGTTGCATACCTTGTGTCCAGTCCATGCATTGTAGGTTTACCTGGACAGGACTCGGGGTTTTAGACGAGGACTAGTTACCTGTGTCCTGGACTAAACCACACGAGGCCTGTGTCTAAACATCTTTCCCTTGGATAGCAGGAGCAGCTGCTTTTACTAGCAGGAGCAGCTGCTTTTACTAGCAGGTGTCTGGCAGCCTCATGGTTTCTCTTAAAGGGAGTTTCTGAGAGGTTTCTGCATAACTGTCTTACCCCACACATTTGCTAGGTTTTACCAGTTGGGTGTGTCTACAGCATCTACAGAGCAGGTGAAAGTCCCTCTAATGTTTGAATTACTGCAGCAGGAAATCTGCATTGTGACTTATGATGTAACCAGAAGTCACTCGTAACCCTACACCATATCCTCACATGTAACCTAAGAAATGAAACCACGACTGGATGGCTTGGAAGGTTACTACGCAGTGCAGGCTTCCTGCAGGAGCTTGTTGTGACTCTGTCTGCCAGTTATCGAGGTGGGCCCTGTCCTGACAGGAGTGTAGCCAGCCGGGGGGGGGTAGTGTATTGGTATTTGAGCTCTTGGTGAGGTCATCAGTGAACCGGGGTCATATCCATAATCTTAAGATTCTGTACACCTGCATGAATCCAATAAATGGTGCATGTGAGAAACGATGTTTACCTCGAAGGTGTGTTTGTTTAGGAGAAGGCTGCCCTGTCAGCTCGGCTAGAGGAGATGATGGAACAAAGCTTAGCACTCTTTCAAAAAAGGGACGACCTGGATGAACTGGAGGGCTTTCAGCAGCAGGAGCTCGCTAAAGTTAAACACATGGTGCGTACATGTGGTGTGCCAGCTTCTTCCTGACATTTTGCGATTAAGGAAAAATGGCAGTCAGTTATGTAGTCGTACACTGATTGTACCTTAGTGCAGGACTGGCGAGTCTGTACATTGGTTTGAAAACACTTTACGATGTGGTATGATGGTTGGATTCTGTTTATCAGTTGCTGAGGAAGGAAGAACTGCTGAGCCAGCAAGAGCGGGAACTTCAGCATAAGGAGGCTGATATTCAGTCGGCAAAGCGAGGGCTGGCCGAGGCTCGGGGGAAGCTCCAGACTCTGGAACGGCAGCACGAGGAGAGCTGCAGACTCAACTCTGAGCTGGAGATAGAGCGGTATGGAAAATGCAACATTCGGTTTTTGTGGAGGGAGCCAGCATTTTCAACATTTAGTTGCTTGTTCTAGAAGTGAGCTTGGATTTGTTGTGGGACTGTGATTTATTTTGTGACATGATGCTGTAATTCAAAGAGCATTTATTGGCTCCATGTAGAGAAGAGCTGCTGCTGCTCAGAGAGGAGGCTGACAAGAAGGTCGGCGAGCTAGAGGGACGATGCCAGGAGCTGCAGTCAGTCATCCAGCAGGTCTCTGAAGACTTCAGGAAGGTCAGCACTGAGCACACTACACTACCATCCTCTCCAAAACTGCTTATTCACTTGTTGTTGTTGCCTTTGTTTTTCAGTCACAGAGTATGGTTTCCACGTTGGAGAAGTCCCTCCATGAATTACAGACAGAACATGATGCTCTGAAGCTGCAGCAGCAAAAGGTCAGAACGTGAGGGCAGTAAAGCTGTAACGCCCTGCAGCTAAACGTCGACAGTCTGTGTCTAACTGGGCTTAAATGATGTGTTATCATTTTTCGAACCCTCCGCATTTTGGCTCATAGCTCATACTCGTTTTTTACGTCATCATTTTACAGTGGAAAAGCAAAAACAGGACTAATTTTTATTTACTAAAAATGATATAAACCTGGACTATCCATCTAAATAAACAGCAGCACAGCTGTTAGTGCGTCACTCCACCAATCGGACATTTACAGTGAAGAAACCAGAAAAACCTTTTCTTCACTAAGAGTTTCAGCACAGTTTGTCCAAAGGTGCCAACGTCCATCTATGAGAGCGACCGGACTTCTTCAAGTTCCCTGAAGACGCTTCACCGCTCGTCTGAGAAGCTTCTGTAGTATCTATGAGATGCACAGTCTTCTGGTGCGATGAAAGAGTTTCAACCAGTATGTGTGGCATAAAGTAAACGCTCAGCACAACCTATTAGTGGCAACATGATGCTGCGGGGTTGTGTACATGTGACACAAACTGGGACACCAGTTGGAGCGGAGGGAAACATGGATGCAGGAAAAGCTCTGCTCAGTGTTTAAGGCAATGACCTGAAGCACAATCAACTGCGTGACTCGGGGAAAATCCTGGAGCGGCTCAGTTGGAGTCCAAGAAGACTTCAGGCTGTTCGTTCCTGCAAAAAATGCTTCGACAAACTTTTTTTATTTTGAACTAAATTCACAAAACACCCAAAAACCTGTTATTGTTCCACGTTTACGTTGTTGTTGACGTGTAAACAAATTGAATCTTCTTTTTTAATGGGTCACATTAGTTTGTTCCACTTGTTTCAGTCTTTTAAACCAAATGTTCTTTACCTGTCGTTGGCTTGTTGCTCCATCATCAGGCGGCTGTGACGGTGGAGGACAAGGAGCGCTTGTTGGTGGAGCTTCAGAAGAAGGCAACATCGTTGGAGAGACGACTGCAGGGGAACCTGAGCCAGGATGAGCACCTACAGGAGCTGCTGCAGGAGGTTAAGAACAAGTCTTGGGTCTACTTTATGACAGTAGCGCATGGCTGGCAGTTGACATGCTCACTGAGGTGTTGTTGTGTTTCATGGGCCCACAGATGTCTTCATAGTCAGGCTTCCTAAAGAGAAAAAGAAATTAGAAGCACAAATATAAGTTTATTCATTTTTTTTGTTGTCTTTCCAGAAGTCTAGTCTGGAGCAAAGTCTGGACAGGACGAGAGCAGAGCTGCTGGCTGTCCGGACAGACCACGCTGATGCCGTCAGCTCTCTGGAGGCTCAGGTAAAACAGCACATTCACACGCGATGGAGAACATTGTATGGGGCCAAATACACATACCCTGTGTAAATCAATGTAATGGTCTGATGTAGTCAGCACTGTGTCACTTTAGATCGAGGTGGGCCTAACAGTGTAAGCTGTGTTTTTTAAAATGTTTAACTTCTTACTTTAGTTATGAAGTTGTTGTTTTCTTCATTTCTGTTGCTTTCTGTGGCATTTTCCTCTTTTTAAAACAGCTGCATGTTTATTTACTCCTGTTTTCTGGTTTTCGTTCCTCGCGTTACTTTGAACAAAAGAAGATATTAAAAAAACAAACTTAAGCGTTGTGTTTCTTGTGGCCTTAGGTGTCGAGGATGAGTGTCACCATTACTGAGCTGCAGACTCTTCTGCGACACAAAGACGACTCGTCCAGGGCCTACAGAGAGAGGACAGACACACAAGTAAGCGATGAGACGACAAACACCCGGCTCCGAGGAATAATGCAGATAAAAGGATTCTAACCTGAGATTGCAAAGTGAAATCGAAAAGACTTTCCATGGTGACATTTGGTATGCTGAAGCCTCGATGAGTATTCATTCATATCATATTGATTGAATTGTGGTTTTCAGATTGCTCAGCTGGAGCAGCAGGTTGTAGAGAGCAGTGAGAGGCTGAGCAGTGCACAGCAGCAGATCGCAGAGAAGCAGCAGAACATGGAGAAACTGGTGAGTGCCACTCCAAGCACAGTTTGAGCCTTTAGAAAGGAGCCTGATATTCTTTACTGAAGGATACAGCGTGCTCTTTCAAAGTCTGATCATGTTTGTGCTCAGTTTTTTGTTTCTTGGAGGGAAAACATGGACTTTCAGCATGATTGCAGTGAAGGTAAAGAGTGCATGTCCAAACATACTTTTGTCCGTGTGCTCAGGAGGGAGAGCGGAGTGCAGAGAAGGCCTTTCTGGACCAGCAGCTGTCTTTGTTGGAGCAGCAGAGTCGGGAGAAGATGAGCCGACTGGAGGACTGTGTCGCCTCTTTACAGAAGGACAAACAGACACTACAGACCCGGCTGGTATGTTTCCTCCTGTCATTTGTTTTTATTCTGTTTGATAAACCAGTGTCTGATCTGTACCTGCAGACCCCAGACTGAACATGATGTTTTTCATATGGAATTTCCAAAAGAGGGATTAATCTGTAATGAGGTTTCCAGCCGGCAGTCCAATAACTGACGACGTGGGATATACTCACTCAGGCGCAGACTTTGGATGGGCGGAGCAACGATAATCATTTGATTTGAGCGTTTAGAATTTATACGTTTTGTCTGGAGGGAATATTTTATTTTGTTCTTTGTTTTAGTGTTGCTATAGCTACTTTCTGGATGAATCATTTATTGAGATGAAAGACTTGATTTTGAACTTACTTTTTGACGTTTTTAGAGTGGAGAAAAGAAGGCCGTTTCTCTTTGTTTCCCTTCCCACCATTGTGTGACATTTTGAAATGCATCGCTGCGTTTGGGCGCACTCTGAGGAGGGTGCAGTTGAAATGGCTGTTTTTCTGTTGACTGCCTCTCTTAGATTCAACCAACATTATTAGCAAACTTATTCATGGGCAAATAAAGAAATCACTCTCGTAAAAACGATATATTCGTCCAACCGCCAACCTCAATCAGTGCTTGTTGTGATGTGCACGTGTGGCAGGCTGATCTGGACAAGCAGGTGGATGAGGTGGACTCTGTTCTGAAGCAGCGGACAGAGGAACTGGAGCAGTGCAGGGTAAGAACCACAACACACTGCTGGGTTGTTTTATTCAAGAATATGAACATGTATTTGATTTAAACCGGGATAATTGTGTGGTGGGGGACAAAATGAAAACTACTGGGACAAAGAGAAGCTGAACAACCACAGAAACGGTCCAGTCCAGAAAATGGAGCACAAGAGAAACAATCAGAAAATTCCAACACAGTAAAAAGTTGTTTTCCAACAAACGGCTTATTTCTGTTGGTTCGAAACCTCCATATTCTTCATGATGGAGCCGTTCACATTATTTGTCATCTCCGCTGAATAAATGTGAGGGTTTTTTGCCCCTCAGCAGTAAGAGGCCGCCGTGCAGGCTCACAGGCTGCTGGCTGGTTTGAACTCTGAGCCTAGTCTGAATGTTCATCTGCTCACCCTGTTGCTGTTGTCGCTGTTACTCCGTGTATTACTCACTAATATTACCAGTGTTCACATTCTTCGGCACATTTGCCTCGTTAGTGCGTCTTGAGTCATAAGTTGTAATCATTTGTTTGATGTCGCAGGTTTTTCACTCCGTCAGATGAAAAATACAACTTTAAAGTTTATTTTATTGAATGATTTTTGAAGTGAGCAGAGCTTATTTTTGGTCTGTCTGTGTTTCCCAGGTGGAGCTAAACAGCCGACAGACGCTGAGCACAGAAATCGCCAAAGCTCTGGAAGAAACCAGACGACAGAAGGAGGGCCTGCAAACACAGGTCAGTGGATAAACTCAAACACAAACCTGTGCTGAAATAATGTAGTAACTCTGTGTGCACATCACCTCACTGTTTGTGTGCGTGTTGTGCTTGATGTCAGGTTGCAGAGCTGAGTGCGGCTCTACAGAGCTCACAGCAGGAAGTGACCGCTGTCACTGAGAAGCTAGCACTCAGAGAGGAGGACATCAGATCCCTGCAGAATGGTACACGCGTGTGCACTAAAGATCTTTAAAGAGATGGCGCTTAATAAAGAGCTTTAGAACAATAAGAGTTTAAAGCTCTTTGTGTCTCCAAAATATTGTGTTTGCGTTGCAGAGGTGCAGGGGCGACAGGCATCCCTGGTGGAGGTGCAGGAGGAGGCTGAGCGGCTGAGAGCCCAGCTGGAGCAGGTGCAGCTGGACAAAGACTCCCAGGTCACCAGCCTGAAGGAGGAGCTGCTCACACAGACTCAGCAGCTGGACAGCTGCCAGGCTCGGGTCAGCACCTGCACACGCTCAGACATCTTTGAACATACTTGTGCTGTATTTTATAATGTGATCGGTGTGCAGGTGACTTCCAGGCATTCACACTCATGAACTATTTTATCTTGATGGGGTTTCTTGTTAAACTGAGACGGACTGAGTACTTTAATCAGACTGAATTAACAGTGCATGCTTGGTGTGAACTGTCTAGATCTCCTACCTGGAAGTGGAGGTGGAAACCCTGACCGAGCAGCTCCACAGTCATAGTGTAGTCTGTGAGGAGGATCAGAACGGCAGCGTGACCGTGGATGACCTGGATCACATCCAGAAAGTCAACAGAGAGCTGGAGCAAGAGCTCAGCGACAAGAACAGGGTCAGAGGCTTTTTGGCAATTCACATTTGGTCCTCTAGCTATGAATGAAAAAAACTACATGCATGAAGGCAGGTAAAGTCACCCCACACATGAAACTCTCTGATGATGTTTGCAGACCATAAAGCAGCTGCAGCAGAGACTGGCAGAACTGAAGAGGACTTTGCAGAAAGAACTGGTAAGACAATGACTGTTCAGTGCTGATCTTTCCTATTGTCATACGATTAATGTAAAGTCAGTTGTAGCCATAAAAAGTATGAAATATGTCTGAAGTGAAGTGTGGCATTAAAGCTTACTGTCCCACAGCAGCAGATCAGAATGAATTATAACGTTTTATACATTTTCCAAATCACTGGAGTAAAACACGTACGGTCAGATAGAGCACACAGGCTGTGCACACAGGTCGTAGCCCAGCAGAGGATCGTGAAACATTCTGTAAACAAACGGCGTCCAGATGATTTTTAATACAGAACTCTGAACATAACCTGCTCCAGCCTGTGTTAGGTTTGAGAGTAAAGAATGACTTCTCCAGAGCGCGTTAGCTTCACAGAACAAGTTATTACGGCAAATTAGTAAGGCGTGAACCCTGAAGGTGCTTGGATAAGCCAGAATCTTGTGTCATACAGGCCTCAGGTTCCAAAGAAACACAAACCTGTACTGTTGCTGTAACCTAAAACAATCAAGTTCTTTCTTAATTGTCAAATTTGTTATTGATTGGATTCTGCCTGCTTATCGGGTGTAAATGCAGAATGATTTGATTCTTTAAGTGCTTTTCTCTCTTCGTGCTCTGTAGAAATTAAAACCTGAGTCAGAAGCTGAAGGGAGGGAGAAGCTACCTGAAAGCAGAGCAGAAAAGCCGGAGAGGGTTTGTCCTGACCCTGCACCTGCATCCACCCCGAGTCCCCCGACCTCCAACACCACAGTGACCAACACCTCGGACCTCAATGACTCAAGAGAAATTAATTTTGAGTATCTCAAGCACGTCGTCCTCAAGTTCATGTCATCCAGAGAGGCAGAGGTAACGTGTGGCTCTGCAAGAGTCTGGTTTGTGTTGGCTGCATGTCAGAGCCCAGCTGTGCTCCACACTCAGACTGAAGGTGCGCTGCTTGTTTTGCTCTGACAGGCATACCAGCTGATAAGAGCTGTATCTGTGCTGCTGAACTTCACTCGAGAAGAAGAGGACATGCTGAAGCAAACTCTGGAGTACAAGGTGGGCGGATTCTTTGCAAAAAGACATCTGTACAAATCTCTGTGGGAAAACCTTTCTGGACTCAGTCACTGGACTGAGGGACTGGAGACATGGCAGCTACCTCCATGTCCTCTATACAGTCTGTGGTAGTCACTGTGCTTTGCCTTTATAGAGCAGACCAACCTCCGACACAGCCAAATGTCATCGCGTGTATTATCATGTCGTCACCTTTGCTGCCTTATACTCGGTCTGTGCTAATGATTACTGTCCCGTTTGTGTTGTAGATGTCCTGGTTTGGATCGAAGCCTTCTCCAAAGGGAATCGTCCGCCCTTCTATCTCAGGATCAGCTCATTGGAGCTGATTTTACAGCAGAAAGAGCTGAAGTGATGGAGAGACTGAGAAAAAGACAGAGCACCTCCTTCCTGTCTAGCTCCCATCACTGAGCAGGACTCCAGCCTCCCAGTTTTTCCCTGGCTCTGTGGGAGGTACTGATGTGAGGACAGAGGGGCTGCGCATCATCATTTAGGGACGAAGGCTTACTCATAATCAGTGGTGATTTTTAAAATGACGTTTTTGATTTTTCTTCAATCATATGACACTAATCTGATGGTTTTTTGTCAGCAAAAAGTGAGTTACTATGTGAGACATCACACAGGAGTAACGCTCTGTTGTTTTTGGGGTTAACTTGTTGTTTATCACTTCATTTTAAATCAGAGGGCTTATTTAATGAAAACGGGTCACTTTACTGACCCGTACAGTTGGCTTTAGTATCAATGAGTCTATTTAATGGTATATAAATGGTTCACACTGGTGTCAGAGGACCAGCTGTTCTCACATTGAAGAATGCTGCATTGGAAACTGAAAGTCTTCTGTGGGTCACACAAACCTTTGATTACATCTTTAATCAACACAGTGTCTTTCGCCCCCGAGCAGAGCAAACCTGTGCCCAGGTGTTTGGGTTCAATGGATTCATTTTGCTTCTCTTGCTGTTGATCCTCCATTAATAGTTCTTCTTCCATTTCTCTGCCACTGATGAGGTTTTCGGTCAACTGAGTCACCCAGAGACGAGAGGAATAAAACACAACCAGTTCAAAAATTGGTCAATATAGAAATCTCTCTAATTAATCAATACTTTTATTTTATTTATTTTTAATTTGATTTTAATACTTTGTTGAACATTTTTAATGACAAACTTTAAAGGTGAATTAAATGACCTGTGGTCCACCTGCAGTACCTGCTTTGCTGTCTAGGCTGCAACTAACCACACTCTGGGACGCAACAATCAAAGAAATCAAGGCTGTGAGTAATGTCCAATATGATCATCATAATCCAACATTTTCCTAAAAGATGGCAATGCTGACCTTTCTCCAGCTTCCATGCATGTTGAACTGTAGTTGCTCTCTGTACTGTGGTGGATTAAAGATGTAAGATCACCCGTGTAATACCAATATGTGCCACAGTGTGGTGCAGTCACATTCTGATTCGCAGAGGCAGCCCGGGAAAGAAGACTGACGTGAAAGCTGTTTGATACTCTGAGTCTGATCTCCACGGGCGTTTTTCTTTTTCTCTCTCCTTTAACACCAGTGTGAAAAATATAGGCTGTATATAAATTCAACTGAAATAATACAACTGTGGTCAAAGTTTTCATACAT